CAGCCGGTCCACATGTCTGCTCGCCAGGGATTTGGTTCTTTCCCAAGTAGCCAGGTTTAGGTTTCTGGTGAACTGGCGGAAGTCCCATCTGGTTATCTCTCAGGTTCGGTCTTGGCTGGGTCTTGTGTGGGATACTCGGTCCACTTCCCTGTCTCTTCCTCCGACTGCTCTGCTTCGCCTGCATTCCTGCCTTTGTCTGTTCCTGAAGGGCTCCCTGATCACATGGTGGTTGCTCGAGGATTTGTGTGGAAGCTTGAACTTTGCCATGATGGTCTACCCGCCGGGTCGGGTGTGGCATCGTTGGCTATTCTGGTTCCTTCCTTCCTTCACCTTGCGCCTCTCTCGCGACCGCTGAGTTCGGCCTTCAGGGGCTTTGCATTGGTTGCTGCGTCACCGGCTTCCTCTTCGGGTTTTTCGGGGTTCAGTACCTTGGCACCTACCCGAGCCCTCGCTCGATGTGTTCACGGACACATAGTGACATGTTCACGTTGTCTCTGGGCTGGGGCTTTGTGACCAGTGCTCACCAGGCCAGTCAGGGATGGTGGGGTCTGTCTTTCCGTCGGGCTCATAGCATGGTGCGGGAGTTTGCAGCTGTGTGGATGTCTTTCCAGAGGGTTCGGGTTGCTCGCGGATTGACGATCTGGTTCCATTCGGACTGTTACTCAGTGGTTCATTGCCTGAACTGAGGTGGTTCCATGCGGTCCTTGGCTCTTTGGGGCTGGTCGCTTCAGGTGACTCGTCTGCCAAGTTCTCAGGGTTTGGCTCTCCTGGCGGTTTACGTTCAGGGAGTGTCCAATGTTCTGGCAGACAGCCTGTCCCGGTTCATTCCCCTGTCCACGGAATGGAATGTTGACGCCAAATCGTTAAGTTGGCTCTGCCAGACGTTCGGGCCTCCATAAGTGGATCTCTTCACATCGGCGTGGTTGAGGCGTCTCCCAGTGTACGTGGCGTCCTTATCCGACTGTGAGGTGACTCGCTTGTCGGAGAAGGCGAGTCGAGGCCATCGGGGTCGACACCTTCAGGCAGGACTGGGCGAGGTGGGGTTACCTGTACTTCTTTCCCCCAGTTCAGCTGTTGTTCCAGGTCCTGGCTCGCTTATAGACTTACCAGGGAAGAGTTGTCCTTCTGGCTTCTTGGTGGCCGGCCCAGCCTCAGTTTCAAGCGCTGCTTGCTCAGTGTCCGAACCCCAAGGGTCTTACCGTGGCTCTGCCTCTTTCAGCAGATAGGTCCAACCCGGTACAAGGCTGGTTCATTCTTCTTAAGTCTTTGCGTCTGGAGTTTCTGACTCGAGTCTATCATCACTTGTGTGGGGCGCAGGTGGCTTCGTTGTTGGTCTCTCACCTGCATGCTTCATTTCAGTGGCAGTATGAAGTTTCCTGGCGGTCCTTCCGGTTTTCCCTATCTTTGCGTCGGTGTACTTTGGTCTCAGATAGGGTTTTGTCCTTTCTTTCGTGGTTATTCCAGCACTGTCGTCTTATGTTGAATACTGTTGCCTCGTATTGTGCAGTGCTGGCGGAGCCGCTCCAGCTCGAATTCGGTGTTGATGTTACTTCTGTCCCATTCCACAACCCTGTCTCGTGCGTTGTTTCACCTCCAGCCTGCTCGTGCGCCTCCTGAGCCATCCTAGTCTTTGGACCAGGTGCTCTCTTTTCTCTCTTCTCGGTTTGTGGTAGCTCCTTTTCAGGATTGTTATTTTAAGGCACTTTTTTTCTTTTTTTCCTGTTGCTTTGGCCTCTGGGGGTCAGGTTGGGGTGCTTCATGCTCTCCTCCAGCACAGTAAGAGAGAACAAAATTGTGGGAGGCTAAATTGTTCTGCTCTTTCGGTCCTGGTGGCAGATTTGTTTGGTTGCAGCCATCTCCTTTTCTGGCAAATAATGAGACTGCTGCTTTCTGGAGGGGGTCCTTGGGTTGTTGATGCTTGGTTCGTCAGGCCAGGAGTGTATCATGAGCTATGTCTGGTTGCGGCTCTTAGCCGTTATTTGCGCACCACGGCTTCGGTGGCCGGGGATATGCTTTGGGTTGACCCGGTTTCCCTCCTTCCCTGTTCTCGGGCTAGGGTCTCTGGTCATTCGCAGGGTTATTAAATCTAGCCAGCCTGCAGTCTATCCCCGTGGCCATGATGTTCGTAAGTTTGCTGCTTTGACTGCCGTCTTTGGTAATATGTCTTAGGTTGACATTCGGGCAAGGGGTTTTTGGGAGGTCGAACAGGGTCCTGGCCGCTCGCTACCTTGTCAATGTCCCAGGACCTGGTAGGGCCTGCGTTGCATTGGGTCGACGGTTGCAGCCAGTTGTCTCAACTTCGCGTTGAGGTGAGAGGACCGGCCACCTCCCGGGTGGAGTACCAGTGTTTTTCCGTGTCTTTGGGGAGTTGGCTCCGGGGAGCCGACGGGGCTCCCCCAGAAAACTAGTGTTGAATGTAATGAAACGCCATTTTCTGGGTGAGACCCGGAGGCTCTCCGGCATCCCTCCCTCCCTCCCTCCCTCCCTCCGGTGGGCGGTGTATTCGCATGTTTGATATCCAGCCAAAGAACTACCTGTTGGATTGCCGGCGCGAAGGTCTGCGGCTCCCCCTTCCTCCTCCTGGGGAGGGGGTGGTTGAGCAGACGGCGGCGTGATGACATCATGCTAGTTGCTAATTTTCATTTGGGAGTTCTTTCCACTCGTTCCACCTTCGGCAGCAATTTTTTCACCAGAATAGGGGTTTGTTTTGGGCCACCGACCTTTCTGGATGACAGACCCAGTCGATGGCAGACACTGAATGCTTCCAACCACACGGGGGTTTCTATAGGCCATTGCTCCTCGCGCCTCTAGCCCCCTCTCTGAGGGGTCCAGGTTTTGGCTCGTGGTCCCCGGTAGGCAAGAACTCCATGGACTTTGATGCCAGAAAGCTAATAAGTACATATCAGTCTGGATAGCTCCGGGGAACCTTCGGGTCTCACCCAGAAAATGGCGTTTCATTAAATTCAACGCTGGTTTTTTTAATTAGGCCATTTTTTAAGTATTTTTTTTTAATGTTTTCTTAGTGATTTGAAATGAAAATGATTGAGTTTGGAAACATTTTGATGTTAACATTAGCTGAGCATTTATAAAAACAACAAAAATATGTCCTTAACAACTGCACCATGAAATTTTTGCCAAAAACAGGTGCACAGTGCAGGGGCTAGAGACAGAGTAGAAAAAAATGCTCAAGGAGCTAAGTAAGAACAAAGCAGTTGGCCCAGATGGAGTTTCACCATGGGTTCTTCTTGAGGTTATCTTGAGATGATTTCGTGGCTTAGTGTCCCCGCGGCCCGGTCCTCAACCAGGCCTCCACCCCCCAGGAAGCAGCCCGTGACAGCTGACTAACTCCCAGGTACCTATTTACTGCTAGGTAACAGGGACATCAGGGTGAAAGAAACTCTGCCCATTGTTTCTCGTCGGCCCCAGGATCAAACCCGGGACCACAGGATCATGTGTCCAGTGTTCTGTCCGCTCAGCCACCGGCTCCTTGGGTTCTGAGTTCTGAGAGTATGTGCACCTGAGCTCAGCATTCCACTTCAACTGATTTTTAAGGCATCCTTGGGTAAAGGAGTCGTAACAGATGTGTGGAAAAAAGGCTAACATAGTTCTAGTCTACAAAATTGGCAGCAGGGAAGACCCACTCAATTATAGACTTGAATCATTGACAAGTGTAATAATCAAAGTACTGTATTGGAAAAATAATTACAACTAAATGGGTAAAACACCTGGAGAAAAACGATATAGTAACAGACAGATAGAGTGGTTTTTGATCTGGAAGATCCTGCATAACAAATTTACTCAGTTTCTATGATCGACAATGAGATTTTACAGGAGAGAGATGGTTGGATTGATTGCATCTATTTGGACCTAAAAAATGCTTTTGACAGAGTTCCACATAAGAGGTTGTTCTGGAAACTGGAACACATTGGAGGAGTGACATGTAGGCTTCTAACATTGATGAAAAATTTTCTGACAGAAAAATAAGGGCAGTAATCAAAGGTAATGTATCAGACTGGAGTACCACAGGGTTCAGTTCTTGCACTGTTAATGTTCATTGTCTACATAAACGATCTACCAGATGGAATACAGAATTATATGAACATGTTTGCTGATGATGCTAAGATAATAGGATAGGAAACTTAGATGATTGTCATGCTCTTCTAGAAGACCTGGACAAAAGCGTATGGAGCACCACTTGGCAAATGGAATTTAATGTAAATAAATGCCATGTTATGAAATGTGGCAAACAGTAGTGAACATGGACCCCACACAACTTATAAATTATGTGAGAAATCTATTAAGAATTATGATAAAGAAAGAGATCTATGAGTGGTTCCACATGGAGACCACATAAAGAACATCGTGCGAGGAGCCTATACCACACTTTCTAATTTCAAAATTGCTTTTAAATACATGGATGGTGAAATACTAAAGAAATTGTTCCCGACCTTTATTAGACCAAAGCTTGAATATGCAGTGGTTGTATGGTGCCCATATCTTAAGAAGCACATCAACAAAAGACATGTTATCAACAAGACACGTGCAACTAAATGAATAGGTGCAAAGACATGCAACTAAATGGCTCCCAGAACTGAAGGACAAGAGTTACAAGGAGAGGGTAGAGGCATTAAATATGCCAAAACTAGAAGATAGACGGAAAAGAGGCAATATGATCACTACATACAAAATAGGAATGGGAATCGATAAAATTGATAGGGAAGAATTCCTGAGAACTGGAACTTCAAGAATAAGAGGTTATAGATTTAAACTAAGTAAACAAAGCTGCCGAAGGAATATAAGAAAATTCACTTTTGCAAACAGAGTGGTAGACATTTGGAACAAGTTAGGTGAGAAGGTGGTGGAGGCCAAAACCATCAGTAATTTCAAAGCATTATATGGCAAAGAGTGCTGGGAAGACAGGAAACCACAAGCATAGCTCTCAAACTGTAATTACACTTAGGTAATTACAATTGTGTAATTACTACTGTACTGTGACTCACATCAGGAGCCTTGTCGACACTGAGGAAGTGGATGGCGACGTGCTCGGGCAGAATGTTGGCGATTAGCTTCCTATTGTATGCCTGCAGATGCTCGATCTCCTCTTTCTCTCCTGTAACAAGCACAGACATGTCACCAAACAATATTCCCGCTACCGAAAATAATTTAGTGACTTACATGTCTACTTAGGTGATCTCCACCTTTTGCCTTGGTCAAGGTGGCTTGGTCAGTTTAAGCTTCAGAATACTACCAGGTCATCTTCAACCCAAGGTTATTATGGGTATGGAATTCATATACTGTACTATACTATTTAGTAAATAGTTATTATGCTGACATGATCACAGTAAAGGTACAGACTTCTAAGTGAATATTTGAGTGCTCTGAATCCTGGTCCAGAATATCTATGCAAGTTTTGAAAGGGAATGTGCTTTACAGTATAATGGCCTGCTATTTCCTAAAGATAAACACACAATTATTCATTGTATTAGCAAAAGGATACAGAGTACACAAGATTTTTGTACAGCTCCTTAATAAGCAGCGTTAATTAAGAGTAAGTCGTACAACTAACAAAATGGTAAAAATGGTCGTTGTACAGTACATAGTGTATAGGAGATCAGTAGTGGGTCTATGTAGTATATTGTACACTAACACAATACATGTACTGTAATATTAGAAGCTGTGGGTTAACAATGAATCTTACACTAAAATGTTAAAGAATAAATTTTACATTTAATTTTTTGGTGGCAAACATTTGTAAATAAATGAGATAAGAGAGTGGCAAAATTGACAGTAACATGGTTTGGTTACTGTATTATGGATGAAAATTATTGGTAGATGTCTACAATGTTACAGTACATAATACTGTATATTGCTCACATTGCATCCTACTTCTGCAACCTGCAGAATCTGATTGCTTTAAACCAATGTCGGCCAGGATTATGCAGACATGATTCCATGTTTCATAATTTTATTTTTCAGCCCACTTTTTGGAGATTTTCATAATATACAGTGGGTACCTCGGTTTACGAATTTAATCCGTTCCTGGAGACGGTTCGTAAACCGAAGCGAATTTCCCCATACAAAATAATAGGAAATGAATTAATCCATTCGTGACCCCCAAAATTCACTTCAAAGTAAATTTTATACTTAATTCACCCAAATCTTCACTACAAAAGTATGTACAAGTTATTACTTAACTTTACTGATGACTCCTGTTTGCATATGGAAGATGGTGAGGAGGGGGGAGGAGAAGAGGTGTTACTGTTTGGAAGGGGAGTCCCCTTCCATTATAACATCAGGCAGTGATGACTTCTCTGGGGTGCACACTCTGGCACGTTTTGCCTGCATACCACTAGGACCTGCTTCTGGCTCACTGCATGATTTTCTCATTGTTTTTCTTGAAGATTGTTTTTCCCTTCTTTGTAACACTTGTGTGTAGCGAGACATCACATTGCCATTAATAAGATCAATGCAACGGCCTGCTAAAGCTTTATCTGGGTGATTCTTTTCAGCAAAACTTTGCAGTTCTTCCCATACTACACGCATTTTCTTAATGAGGAAGGGACATCCTCAACTGCCTCCTCCTCCTCCTTCCCTGAAGATTTGTTGTACTGCCTAGCTAATTCAACATCACGTGTATCGTTTTCATGTTTATGAATGATCTCTTGTTTTTCCTCTATGGTCATTCTCACATGTGTTTTCTTGCCTTGAACCTTACCACTGGCTTTGTTGGGACCCATGGCGAGATATATAATAACAACTTTTATGTTCAAATAGCCAAAAATAAAAAAAACTGTAAATCCTTACAAAGAATTCAGGCAGGATAGTCACTAGACAGGAGGCACCGGGAAACTAAGGCGTGACCGCCGTGCCACCACATGCTAGGTCGGCCATACGCGTATCAACAAACTCGTATCCCGAGGTAAAGTTCGTAACCCGATTCAAATTTTCCGACAAATCGGGCTCGTAACTTGAAAAGTTCGCAAACAGGGGCGTTCGTAAACCGAGGTACCACTGTACTGATTTAGGTTTGTATTTTTAAGCTGTCATTTCCAGCTTATTTTTTGAGGTTCAAGTGTAGCAATGAGAGATGAAGCATGGCAGGATGAAGAACAAAAGTCTGATGGAACAATATGGGATGGAATACTGTGAGATGGAACAAGATGGGATTAAATGTGGGATGGGGCATGATAGAATGGAATAAGGTAGAACAACATAGGATGGATAAAGGTTGGGTTGGAGCATGGGTGGGGGTGGAGTATGGAGGAGAGGAACAAGGTGGGATGGAAAGGTGGAGTGGAGCAAGGTGGGGTGAAGCAAGGTGGGGTCGAGCAAGGTGGGGTAGAGCAAGGTGGGGTGGAGTAAAGTGGGGGTGGAGCATGGTGGGGTGGAGCAAGGTGGAGTGGTGCAAGATGGGGTGGAGCATGGTGGAATGGAGCAAGGTGAAGTGGAGCAAGGTGAAGTGGAGCAAGGTAGAGTGGAGGAAGGTGGTATGGATAAGGTGGAGTAGAGCAAGGTGGCATGGAACAAGGTAGAGTGGAGGAAAGTGGGGTGGAACAAGGTGGTACAAAACAAGCAGGAGCTCACCATGAGCCTGGAGCTTCCAGAGGAAGTCAAGGCGCGAGGTGGCCTCCGTCTGGCGCGCGTGGATGACGAAGGCTATGGTGAACCCGACCAGCACCGCTACTGTCACGTACCTTGACATGAACAGCTCCCCTTTCCTGTAGGTGGTACACGGGACGAGGGTCAGTGGTGGTGGTACACGGGATGGGGTCAGTGGTGGTGGTACACGGGATGGGGTCAGTGGTGGTGGTACACGGGATGGGGTCAGTGGTGGTGGTACACGGGATGGGGTCAGTGGTGGTGGTACACGGGATGGGGTCAGTGGTGGTGGTACACGGGATGGGGTCAGTGGTGGTGGTACACGGGATGGGGTCAGTGGTGGTGGTACACGGGATGGGGTCAGTGGTGGTGGTACACGGGATGGGGTCAGTGGTGGTGGTACACGGGATGGGGTCAGTGGTGGTGGTACACGGGATGGGGTCAATGGTGGTGGTACACGGGATGAGGTCAGTGGTGGTGGTACACGGGATGGGGTCACTGGTGGTGGTACAAGGGACAGGGGTCACTGGTGGTGGTACAAGGGACAGGGGTCACTGGTGGTGGTGGTATACGGGACGGGGTCAATGGTGGTGGTACACGGGACGGGGTCAGTGGTGGTGGTACACGGGACGGGGTCAGTGGTGGTGGTACACGGGACGGGGTCAGTGGTGGTGGTACATGGGACGAGGGTCAGTGGTGGTGGTACACGGGACGAGGGTCAGTGGTGGTGGTACACGGGACGAGGGTCAGTGGTGGTGGTACACGGGACGAGGGCCAGTGGTGGTGGTACACGGGACGAGGGCCAGTGGTGGTGGTACAAGGGACGAGGGCCAGTGGTGGTGGTACACGGGACGAGGGCCAGTGGTGGTGGTACACGGGACGAGGGCCAGTGGTGGTGGTACACGGGACGAGGGCCAGTGGTGGTGGTACACGGGACGAGGGCCAGTGGTGGTGGTACACGGGACGAGGGCCAGTGGTGGTGGTACACGGGACGAGGGTCAGTGGTGGTGGTACACGGGACGAGGGTCAGTGGTGGTGGTACACGGGACGAGGGTCAGTGGTGGTGGTACACGGGACGGGGTCAGTGGTGCTGGTACATGGGATGAGGGCCAGTGGTGCTGGTACACGGGACGAGGGTCAGTGGTGGTGGTACACGGGACGAGGGTCAGTGGTGGTGGTACACGGGACGGGGTCAGTGGTGCTGGTACATGGGATGAGGGCCAGTGGTGCTGGTACATGGGACGAGGGCCAGTGGTGGTGGTACATGGGTAATCTAAAACAACAAAAACCATCAACTTTACAGGCTACTCATACCCGTGCCACCTCTTGGGTGGTTTAATCTTCATCAATCAACCATCGACTTTCAAGCTTCGCTCCGGAACAGTCAATCCCGGTGTCAATCGAGCTCTCCACCCCCTGCCGCCTGGCTCTAGCTCTCCTCTGAGGCACGCACAAGCTCTAACAGCAAGTGGGAAACATCTGTGGCTAGCTGATGATAATGATCACACGATTAATTCATGGGCACTTGGAACAAAGTGCCCATGAGTTACTCATGGAACAAAGACCTGTGCATTATTGTTCAGTATTGCTCTTTCCTATTAACAGTTGCTCACCTTATTGTTACTTGGAATCATTTGTCCCTCAATAAAATCCTTTGTGAATCTGATACCTTTGACATTGATCGTCTTATGTCTGTTCTCTTACTGACATCGTGAACGATACCAGTTGGTGGTATCACTGCCACCTTCCCCACTAGTGATAGGGCATGGGTACTGCTAAGCACACTGAGATAGCACTAACCCTCGGCTCAGGAGGATGAGAGCGTCCTGGTTGTCGAAGAGTGTACCGTGGGTGATGAGCACCATGGAGATGTAGGCCACACACACAGCACTCAGCAAGAGAAGTTTGATGATGCTAAACATTAGCTGGTACACTGCACACGACACCATCACCAACAGCACACAGTATGTGAAGTACTGTACAGGAAGAACACACAAAATATGAGAAATGTCTACAGCATGCCAAACTGGAAAAAAATTGTCCAATCAGTTGTTGTGCGAGCTTTTAAATGTATCTTCAATTTCTGTATCATTATCAATTCACTATCAATTTTGTGATGAAAGTGAATTGTGAGTGGTGCATCACAAGAAGTCTCACGCAATAGTCAAGAGCTAAAAATAAAGCAGTTTTAGAAAAAAAAAATGAGGTTTGATTTTGTATGAAAAACAGCAAATACTCAGAATATCTATAATGTACTCGCAAACCAAAGTCACAATCTGCTATTGCGTTCAACTCCTCAAGATACAACTAACATATTTATGTCTAGCTTCAGGTATAACAGGTAACACAAAATTGTTAATGACGGTAACAAGACATTTATTTCATGTGGATTCTATTTCATGACAGCATCTGAATACACAAGAAAACTGACGAGTTAGCTAAAGAATCTGCCTTACATTGCTTATAAATAACCCGAGAATAACAACAACACCAAGAACTTCAACAAAGTCTTGTAAATCTGAGGTAAGGTGAGATCTACATTAGCAGTTCCATCCATCATACAAGAAGAGCCACACATGTATGGGTCATCCAATAAAACCATCAGACTCCTAGATGTCACTACTACTCGGCTGAGACAGAATTATCTCTGGGAGTTTGCATTACCTGACGACGTACACCTGACCCATTGTAAACTCTTACCAAACTTATTTGAACACCCTCTGTCACTGTGATGCAATGCGAAAAATAAATTAATTTAGAAATAACTATAACAAATGTTCAAGAAATGTTTGTTTTTTGTAAAAAAAATATCTACTACCAATCATTATAGCCAAAAACCCGATGTCTGCTAACTGTAGGTAGTGCATGCAGGTGATTGTAACCTTTCTACCCCCACTCTCATATTGACCATCACTGTGTAGTACTGTATTTGATAGACAAATTACATTCGTAGATAATTTGCTCGACAAAAACTCTTGAAGTACCAGTAGTGTTTAATAAAATTTAATGTTGATTTATTTGTTAAATTATGTACTTAAATCACCAATGCTTAACTTGCTTAGCTAAACACGTTTGTGTGTGTGTGTGGAGGGGGGGGGTCTGCATACATTTCTACTACTGCTCGCAGGATGGGTATTGGGTGCATAATATATATGGAAAAACACAGCAATAAAAGGACAAATATTAGCACACATTCCTTACACTACTGGTGATGGCCTGCAGACAGTGAAACTCACATCAGGAAAGTGTGTTGTTGTGCCCTCATGACACACATTGACCTCGTCTCCAAGGCTGACGTTGAACTGGTCGAGTACTGGGACGACCTTTGGTGCCTGAAGGGTGAGGATGTCTGACACCACCCACCACTCCTCTGTCATGTTGGGGTCACCAAACGTCACATTAGTGGAGTTTTCGCCAGCCTGAAGGTAGCAGTCCCGGTAGCTATCCAGGTCCAACAAGAACTGTAGAGTAGCCAGCATCTGATCACTAACAGCCCCTGGTGAGCATGCTATTCATTAATGCATGCCTGGCTATCCTGTGCCTACTCAAGTTTAAGAAACTTTCCTCAACAATTAAGAAGGCACCCACGTTCAATAGTTTATTGCGGTGTATTTATTAAGCAACTTTTTTGTAATAAATTCTGCCCCATTTTCTGCTTAAGTAGAGTACATTTTAAGTTTAAGCATACAACATTACATAAATAAAAGTTTCATAATTTTAAGACTGGCAATTTGTATGAAGATTAACATTACAGTAACATTATTTATTTGTCAACCAATTTTTGGGTCTGAATATCTGTGAATCAGTTGAATGTTAATTAAGCACACACTGGTGTTTTAATATTCTCAGTGGTAGGAATTACACAGCAGTGTACAGCAGCAATTTGACTAATACCAATAATTTGTATCAGATAATATCTAAAATGCAATGAAAGCAGAGTTCGGTTATTGATCCAAGGAACCTCACTGGTCTGAGTTATGTACTGTAATACATAGCGGCAGAAAGGACAATAATGGCTTAAACAGGCAAAATTTTAAAATGGTAATACAGTACAGTATAATGTTTTTCTTGACAAGATAAATGCATTAATGTAGCATAAACAAATGTTTATAGCATTACTGTACTCTATCATTTCCTCATGAAAAAATCCACAAGGGCCGTGGTGAGGGTTCTGTACTACAGTATACTGTATTCTTTCTGCCCAATATGAATATTCTCTATATTCTATCTGAAGGTTCTTACTATACATTACGTGATATTTTACTGATCATGGGGGTGACTGGTGGTGCCCCATGGTGGTGTACTGACCACGGGGGTACCCCCAGGGACGTTCACAAGGCATGGAAGCATACTGACCACAGGGGTGCCCCAGGGGTAGTACACAGACCATGAAAGCATACTGACCATGGGGGTACCCCAGGGGTGGTATACAGACCATGGAAGCATACTGACCATGGAGGTGCCCCAGGGGTAGTATACAGACCATGAAAGCATACTGACCATGGGGGTACCCCAGGGGTGGTATACAGACCTTGGAAGCATACTGACCATGGGGGTGCACCAGGGGGGGGGTACACAGACCATGGACGCATACTGACCATGGGGGTGCCCCAGGGGGGGGGTACACACACCATGGACGCATACTGACCATGGGGGTGCCCCAGAGTGGTACACACACTACGGATGCATACTGACCATGGGGGTGCCCCAGGGTGGTACACACACCACGGACTCATACTGACCATGGGGGTGCCCCAGGGGGGTACACAGACCATGGACGCATACAGACCATGGGGGTGCCCCAGGGGTGGTATACAGACCATGGATGCATACTGACCATGGGGGTGCCCTGGGGGGAATGGTATACAGACCATGGACACATACTGACCATGGGGGAGCCCCAAGGATGGTACACAGACCATGGACACATATTGACCATGGGGGAGCCCCAGGGATGGTATACAGACCATGGAGGGGTGCCCCAGGGGGGTATACAGACCATGGGGGAGTGCCCCAGGGGGATATACAGACCATGGAAGCATACTGACCATGGGGGTGCCCCAGGGGGGTACACAGACCATGGAAGCATACTGACCATGGGGGATGCCCCAGGGGTGGTACACACACCATGGAAGCATACTGACCATGAGGGATGCCCCAGGGGGGTACACAGACCATGGACACATACTGACCATGGGGGTGCCCCAGGGGGTGGTACACAGACCATGGACGCATACTGACCATGGGGGTGCCCCAGGGGTGGTACACACACCATGGACGCATACTGACCATGGGGGTGCCCCAGGGGGTGGTACACAGACCATGGACGCATACTGACCATGGGGGTGCCCCAGGGGTGGTACACACACCATGGACGCATACTGACCATGGGGGTGCCCCAGGGGGTGGTACACAGACCATGGACGCATACTGACCATGGGGGTGCCCCAGGGGTGGTACACACACCATGGACGCATACTGACCATGGGGGTGCCCCAGGGGGTGGTACACAGACCATGGAAGCATACTGACCATGGGGGATGCCCCAGGGGTGGTAGACAGACCATGGAAGCATACTGACCATGGGGGTGCCCCAGGGGGTGGTACACAGACCATGGAAGCATAATGACCATGGGGGATGCCCCAGGGGTGGTACACACACCATGGACGCATACTGACCATGGGGGTGCCCCAGGGGTGGTACACAGACCATGGACGCATACTGACCATGGGGGTGCCCCAGGGGTGGTACACACACCATGGACGCATACTGACCATGGGGGTGCCCCAGGGGGGGTACACACACCATGGACGCATACTGACCATGGGGGTGCCCCAGGGGTGGTACACACACCATGGACGCATACTGACCATGGGGGTGCCCCAGGGGGGGTACACACACCATGGACGCATACTGACCATGGGGGTGCCCCAGGGGGTGGTAAACACACCATGGACTCATATTGACCATGGGGGTGCCCCAGGGGGGGGGGTACACAGACCATGGGGGTGCCCCAGGGGGGGTACACACACACCATGGGGGTGCACCAGAGGTGGTACACACACCATGGACGCATACTGACCATGGGGGTGATGGAGCAGAGGAAGAGAGCCAGCACCAGGAGGGAGGCCAACATCTGACTGACGGTGCGGCTCCCGGCCACCACCACGCTCAGCCTCGAGAAACACTCCGGCACGCACTGTTACGGGTACACAAGGCTGCATGTTACGCTCATGGTGGTGGTGGGGGTGGTGGTGATACTGGGTGGTGGTGGTGATACTGGGTGGTGGTGGTAGTGGTGATACTGGGTGGTGGTGGTAGTGGTGATACTGGGTGGAGGTGGTAGTGGTGATACTGGGTGGTGGTGGTAGTGGTGATACTGGGTGGTGGTGATACTGGGTGGAGGTGGTAGTGGTGATACTGGGTGGTGGTGATACTGGGTGGAGGTGGTAGTGAAGCTGGTGATGGCTTAATATGGGTTACGATATTATTAAAGACATTTTATACTTTGTTAATAATAGAGATTATGGTGTTGGTAATATATCAGTGCTGATGGCAGCTATGATGTGATGTACAATTATAATAGCAATTATAAAGTGCTTATCATATTATCGATACGATAATTCATATGATGACTTATGATTAATAATGATTCTTGTAATTATCATCAGGATAATGACTATGCAGATATTATAAAGATAAAATAATGAGAGAGAGAGAGAGAGAGAGAGAGAGAGAGAGAGAGAGAGAGAGAGAGAGAGAGGGGGGGGGGGAAGGCAGGCAGAAAGTGATGTGGGAGAGAGAGAGAGAGAGAGAGAGAGAGAGAGAGAGAGAGAGAGAGAGAGAGAGAGAGAGAGAGAGAGAAAGAGAGGGGGGGGGAAAGGCAGGCAGAAAGTGATGTGGAGAGAAGGGAAGAGCAGGAGAAAGCACCAAGCCACTACGACTATATAGCACTGGGCAGGGATCAGGAATGGGATTTGGGATTGGACGGAGTCAAGGAATGGTGCCCAACCACTTGAAGGACGGTCGGGGATTGAGCGCCGACTTGCATGAAGCGAGCCCCTCCCCCCCTGCAGATAATGACATACCTCGCTGCTCTCAGCCATCACCAAGACCAGAGTGAAGGTGCTGACCACGACGCCCACCATCAGTACGCCCACAGACACATAAAACCTGCATAAGAGTGAACAAGAGTGAATAAGAGTGAACAAGAGTGAATAAGAGTGAACAAGTATACCATGGAGACAAGGTTAACACCTCGTGTGTTATTACATGACCAGATTATATTATTTCAACTACACAAAATGATAGACTGTATATATTACTGGCCCAATGACCATGGAGCACTATTGAGTATGCAAATATCTCAAGACACCAAAGAAAGTTTTCTTTTTGTGTGTTAAGAGTATGGCAGAGCGTTGTTGTTGTTTTTAGATTCAGCTACTGGGAACAAAAAAGCTCCAAGTAGCACGGGCTATGGTGAGCCCGTAGAGGACTTACCTGGCACAGGAGCGGGGCTGTATGGTAGAGCCCCTCGAGAGGCCTTGTTATCTTAACGTGTGCGAATATTTTATATATATATATTGAGAGATATATATGGGGTACTATAACTATAGTATATATATATATATATATATATATATATATATATATATATATATATATATATATATATATATATATATATATATATATATATATATATATATATATATATGTCGTACCTAGTAGCCAGAACGCACTTCTCAGCCTACTATGCAAGGCCCGATTTGCCTAATAAGCCAAGTTTTCCTGAATTATATATTTTCTCTATTTTTTTTTCTTATGAAATGATAAAGCTACCCATTTCATTATGTATGAGGTCAATTTTTTTTTATTGGAGTTAAAATTAACGTAGATATATGACCGAACCTAACCAACCCTACCTAACCTAACCTAACCTATCTTTATAGGTGAGGTTAGGTTAGGTAGCCGAAAAAGTTAGGTTAGGTTAGGTAGGTTAGGTTGTCGAAAAACAATTAATTCATGAAAACTTGGCTTATTAGGCAAATCGGGCCTTGCATAGTAGGCTGAGAAGTGCGTTCTGGCTACTAGGTACGACATATATATATATATATATATATATATATATATATATATATATATATAAACAAAGCACTGTGCTCGCCTCCACCTGCTCCAAATAACTATAGTGTCTCCACCCGCCACACTCACCCTCTTATATAGTTCATTATACTTTAATCCTAATTATAAAAGCAGGGGTCTTCCAACGCAGTTATCAACGCAGGTGTTTCTAAACTGGAACCCGGGTTCGATTCTCGCATAATACAAAGGAGTTTGGGCACGTTTCCTTTCATCTGATGCGCCTATTCACCTAGCAGTAAATAGTTACCCAGAAGTAAGGTAACTGTTGTAGGTTGTTTCCTGTAGAAGGTCATTAGGTAATCTTAGTGGGGGGAAGTAAACTTTGCAGGCAATGAGTCACAATAACGTGGCTGTTTACGGGTTCACCATAGCCCGTGCTACATGGACACTTCGTTCTGAGTAGCTAAATCTGAAACAACAACAACAACGTGGCTGAAGTATGTTGACCACACCACACACTAGAAGGTGAAGGGACGACGACGTTTCGGTCCGTCTTGGTCCGTCCTGTACACGCACACAATCGACTTGAGAATGGTCCAGGACGGACCGAAACATCGTCCCTTCACTTTCTAGTGTGTGGTCTGGTCAACGAAGTAAATTTTGATAAAGCAGGACAGGCTTCCTGTCCCTGACAATGGGAAGCCAGAAGGAAGAGACGGGTGGAAGAGTACTGGGCAAGTAAGGTGATGTGTATGAACACTTCCAACACCACCTCCGTCTTTACCAGAAGATATCAACTATCTTGAGGTTATCTTGAGATGATTTCGAGGCTTTAGTGTCCCCGCGGCCCGGTCCACGACCAGGCCTCCACCCCCAGGAAGCAGCCCGTGATAACTGACTAACACCCAGGTACCTATTTTACTGCTAGGTAACAGGGGCATAGGGTGAAGGAAACTCTGCCCATTGTTTCTCGCCGGCGCCTGGAATCGAACCCAGGACCACAGGATCACAAGTCCAGCGTACTGTCCACTCGGCCCAACTATATCAAAAGCAATAAACATAACACATTAAAAACAAATAGTGAGATCAGTAGTGTGCTCTAGGGGGCGGCGGTGAGTACCTGGGGATGATGATGAGCTGAACGATGGTGATGGAGATGATGGTGATCCAGGAGAAGACGAAGTACGCTGGCAGCATCTTGTCCCGCTCCTTAGAGTACTGTAACAAGAGTCAAGAGTAATGAGTGTGGTGGAGACGTCTGCCTCACCATACAGCAGGAGGCGGCGAGGCAGCTAGGTAGTCATCACTATTTCTCAAAAGCGATACATCATCACGTTCCGTGTGTGTGTGTGTGTGTGTGTGTGTGTGTGTGTGTGTGTGTGTGTGTGTGTGTGTGTGTGTGTGTGTGTTAGTATTGTTGGGAATGAAATAATTTGTATGATGGGATGACGGATGGAATTCCTTCTGTTTTTTTGGTTTTATACTTAATCAAATTCATTATTACAGAAACAAAAACACACACAAGTACACGCAGGCACGCACACTAGCACAATGGCACACACACTATTACAAGTACACACACACTATACAAGTACACACACACACACACACTATACAAGTACACACACACACACTATACAAGTACACACACACACTATTACAAGTACTCACACACACTATCACAAGTACACAGACACACACTATACAAGTACACACACACATTATACAAGTACACAGACACACACTATACAAGTACACAGACACACACTATACAAGTACACAGACACACACTATACAAGTACACAGACACACACTATACAAGTACACACACACACACTATACAAGTACACACACACACACACTATACAAGTACACACACACACACTATACAAGTACACACAGACACACCATCACAAGTACACCCACGCACGAGTACCCACACATACAGGAACACAAACCCCTCATAGAGTACACACCTTTTCCTCGACCTTGGACTCGCGGAAGGTGAGCAGAAACCTGCGGCAGTGTCCCTTGCGCAGCTGGTCAATGGAGCGACCCTCGATAGCTTGGGCCAGGTAGTCATTGACCTCCTCCGTCGTGTTCTTGCCCACCTGCGTCTCGCTCAACCCTAACCTGAGGTGGTCACGTTGTGATGAGCCCAACACGTCTTCACTCAACACTTAACCACGGGTGCTCACTCTATATTCGGGATTTTCTGCCCGAAACGCTGCGTGTACTAGTGGCTTTACAAGATTGTAATTACTATCCTATGTATCCTCACAATCCCAATGTACCTTCTTGTATATATATTATATATATATATATATATATATATATATATATATATATATATATATATATAAATAAATAAATAAATATCTTTATTAATGTGAAATTGTTGAGGGCCTAATATTATCATACACACGGCACAAACGTGTTCACGGCAAGATATGGAAGACGTGCTCATTATGGAAGTGTTCACATTTAGTGAGTAATGAGATAGGCATTTTTATTAAACAGTTTACTTACATATTATATAAATAATGAGGCAAACTAAATACAAATATATGCTTATATATATTAGAATAGATGAAACATGGAGATTGCGGAGGTGGTGACGTAAGCCGTATGGGATGGTAGAGAACTGCCCCTTGGTGAAGACGGTCAACACAGAGTTAAACATCACCACACAGGAAGGAATGTGTTAGACACGCTAACTGAAGCGCGTCTCTGCCGGAGACATGGCATCTCTCGTTAACCTGACACTGTACGGTCATAGTAACGCTAGCACACAACTTGAATTTATCTGTGAAGTCCCTCGCCGCTGTATCTGAGAACGCACAAGATTCAATACAAAAATAATTGCAGTTGTGCGGGGTGCAGAGTGACCAGGTTGGCTTAAGGGATCACTGGAAAGATCAGAGCAGTTAGCTTGTCGGTGTGTACTGCTAGCGAGAGTTGCATCGTATGGCGTCCTCAGGTGTAATCCTCTCCTGAGGTCAACTGTGTAGTTGACCTCGGGAGATGCATTGTATAAGGAAGCAACACAATAAGGTTATTGTTTCCGCCACGCTGCTAGACTAGGTGAGGTAGTTTACTAAGGAGAAGTAAGAGAGACTAGGCCGGCATTCTCTCATTCTGTCAGCGCCGGGCGCCAGAGCCCTCGTGTTTACACTTGCTACCTTGTGAAGACCTGCCTCTTAATGCGGCTCTTAGATGTGCATAGCTCATGGTCTTACTGTTAGCCGTGAACGCTGCCTCGCGCGAGTCTGGCGCGGGTAAACACACAACAAAGCGTCTCCACTAAGACCACCAGAATAGGAAAGTATGACGGCACCGTCTAAAAAAAAAAAAATGAAAAATATAACTGGTGATGAAATAGTAAGTAGATAGTCAGTCCATTTGTGGCATATGCGACGCCTTCGTTGAGTCCATATCTTACACAGAAAATAAAGCTGTTGGGAAGTGTAGCGACATGCCACGCACCAGACTACAGAGGTTATCTTGAGATGATTTCGGGGCTTTTAGTGTCCCCGCGGCCCGGTCCTCGACCAGGCCTCCACCCCCAGGAAGCAGCCCGTGACAGCTGACTAACACCCAGGTACCTATTTTACTGCTAGGTAACAGAGGCATAGGGTGAAAGAAATTCTGCCCATTGTTTCTCGCCGGCGCCCGGGATCGAACCCGGGACCACAGGATCATATGTCCAGCGTGCTGTTCGCTCGGCCGACCGGCTCCTTGTCTGCACAGAGATGAAAGCTATGTTATATGACGAGACATTAAAAGTTTCTCCAGTTGTCTCCAGTTATATTATGGATTTCACTGTGTAAATTCTGCCATTCCATGTTCACCACGAGGGCTGGATCATGCACAATCCTGGAATCTCTTACTTAGTACTACATACAACATTAACTTTGTGTATTCACCTACTCTTTATTTAGTCCCATTGTATTCTCTTGCCAGCGTCTTCCACCTTACGTGGCCTCGCATTAGTGTTGGTCTTCTGTCTCACATGTTACATCAATACTCTCTTGTTTCACAAACTTTCTTCTAATTATTACATTTTCATTACTTTCTCTTTTGTAGTTGTTGTGATTCTCTCCTGTGGTGTACTCTCGTGAGCCTCCTCCATGTACTCCTACTCTCCTGTTAGCTTCTAGGCTGTCGGTCACACTATGGACTCTTGCTGTGCTTTGTTCTTTGGCGTCTAATAGAAAATCAAGATGCTTCTAATATGTTGATCAAACCACTCAATAGAGAGTGAAGGGACGACGATGTTTCGGTCCGTCCTGGACCATTCTCAAGACGATTGTGTGTGTGTGGTTTGGTCAACATATTTCAGCCACGTGACTCCTTGTCTGTACATGATCTCTCTACTTAACTGCATTTTATAAAGCAGTGTTCTACATCCCATAGTGATCTCTAGGATGTTATGACTCTCCGGCAGTGTCCTCACTCCTTCCAGTCTCTCTCCCGCCTTCATACAATGACATCACTAATTTAAAGGCTAATATACAATGGCTGCTCATTCCCAGGGGGAATGTAATATTGTCTATGTCCGCCTTATATTGTGTAAAGATCAGATATATTCTGACTGGAAGGTCAGGTTTTATAGTGTCTTCCTTAACACCAAAACATTGCTCTCTATTAAGTTTACTCTCCACGGCTCGTCTCCTCCAGGCGGGTTCATGGTTCTCTATTCTTCCTACCTCAGAGTACTCATAGCCAGGCCGACGACAACAAGGGCAGTCCTACACCACGACCCTGAGTACCATCAACGAGGGAAGGCCCACTGTGCCATCAACGAGGGAAGACACACACCATGACCACTGTGACATCAACTAGAGAGGGGGCCATACCATACACAAGGCCAGCATTAACAAGGAGGTTCACTCCATAACAATGGTGAGTGAGGGGAGACTTACTTGGTGTGGATGTTGGTGTTCTGTTTGCTGGGGTCGGAGTGGCCGATCATGCGCATCTCCTTGCTCACGCTCCCATTCATGCTGTACATTGACGTCTTCTTGATGTGAGGCTGCAATACCGGAGCTCTGGTTAGTTCCTGGTTGGCGCACTGCTACGGCTGCAACTTGTTGGTGGTGTACCCTGCTGGTGGTGTACCCTGCTGGTGGTGTACCCCTGCTGGTGGTGTACCCTGCTGGTGGTGTACCCCTGCTGGTGGTGTACCCTGCTGGTGGTGTACCCCTGCTGGTGGTGTACCCCTGCTGGTGGTGTACCCTGCTGGTGGTGTACCCCTGCTGGTGGTGTACCCCTGCTGGTGGTGTACCCCTGCAGGTGGTGTACCCCTGCTGGTGGTGTACCCCTGCTGGTGGTGTACCCCTGCTGGTGGTGTACCCCTGCTGGTGGTGTACCCCTGCTGGTGGTGTACCCCTGCTGGTGGTGTACCCCTGCAGGTGGTGTACCCCTGCTGGTGGTGTACCCTGCTGGTGATGTACCCTGCTGGTGGTGTACCCCTGCTGGTGGTGTACCCCTGCTGGTGGTGTACCCCTGCTGGTGGTGTACCCCTGCTGGTGGTGTACCCTGCTGGTGGTGTACCTTGCTGGTGGTGTACCCTGCTGGTGGTGTACCTTGCTGGTGGTGTACCCTACTGGTGGTGTACCCTGCTGGTGGTGTACCCTGCTGGTGGTGTACCTTGCTGGTGGTGTACCCTGCTGGTGGTGTACCCTGCTGGTGGTGTACCCTGCTGGTGGTGTACCCTGCTGGTGGTGTACCCTGCTGGTGGTGTACCCCTGCTGGTGGTGTACCCCTGCTGGTGGTGTACCCCTGCTGGTGGTGTACCCCTGCTGGTGGTGTACCCCTGCAGGTGGTGTACCCCTGCAGGTGGTGTACCCCTGCAGGTGGTGTACCCTGCTGGTGGTGTACCCTGCTGGTGGTGTACCCTGCTGGTGGTGTACCCTGCTGGTGGTGTACCCTGCTGGTGGTGTACCCTGCTGGTGGTGTACCCTGCTGGTGGTGTACCCTGCTGGTGGTGTACCCTGCTGGTGGTGTACCCTGCTGGTGGTGTACCCTGCTGGTGGTGTACCCTGCTGGTGGTGTACCCTGCTGGTGGTGTACCCTGCTGGTGGTGTGCCTTGCTGGTGGTGTACCCCTGCTGGTGGTGTACCCTGCTGGTGGTGTACCCTGCTGGTGGTGTACCCTGCTGGTGGTGTACCCTGCTGGTGGTGTACCCTGCTGGTGTACCCTGCTGGTGTACCCTGCTGGTGGTGTACCTTGCTGGTGGTGTACCCTGCTGGTGGTGTACCCTGCTGGTGGTGTACCCTGCTGGTGGTGTACCCTGCTGGTGGTGTACCCTGCTGGTGGTGTACCCTGCTGGTAGTGTACCCTTCTGGTAGTGTACCCTGCTGGTAGTGTACCCTTCTGGTAGTGTACCCTGCTGGTAGTGTACCCTTCTGGTAGTGTACCCTGCTGGTGGTGTACCTTGCTGGTGGTGTACCCTGCTGGTGGTGTACCCTGCTGGTGGTGTACCCCTGCTGGTGGTGTACCCCTGCTGGTGGTGTACCCCTGCTGGTGGTGTACCCCTGCTGGTGGTGTACCCCTGCTGGTGGTGTACCCCTGCTGGTGGTGTACCCCTGCTGGTGGTGTACCCTGCTGGTGGTGTACCCTGCTGGTGGTGAACCCTGCTGGTAGTGTACCCTGCTGGTGGTGTACCCTGCTGGTGGTGTACCCTGCTGGTGGTGTACCGTACAGTGTATATACCCTGTGCCGGGTAACAGTATGGTCTAACTCAGGGAGTGTAGGGTATTATGAAATGAAATATGTTAGTACAGTATTGGTCATAACTGGTGCGGCAGTTGAGGGCGCGCCCTGGGGACCAGATCACCGCACCAATATTTACAAATATATAAACTGTGAAAACCTAAATAATGCTTCTGTTAAAGGAACATTGTTAAAATGAACTAGTTACCCTACCAAACAACTGTCGCGCCTCTATGTCCTCCTCTGATAACTACAGACCTATTGTCCATACACACTACTAAACAAGGTATTTGATTAAATACTTGTTGACTTTCTAGCTTAAGAACTGGGTACATCTGACTGTCAGTTTGCATAAACATCTGGTTACTCAACAACTCCCTCTAGTGTCCTGGCGGGGAAATTATTCTCTACTACAACTCACAAGCTCCACTGTCCTCTTTTTTTTTTTCCCCTCCTCGATGCTTCCAAAAGTTTTTAACAAAGTTGAACACACCAAACTTGTTGTTTAGAGACTTGCTTAACAGAAAAGTGTGTCCTGTCATTACTAGATGTCTACAAATTTCTTACAGCTATAGTGCGTTGTCGCACTCACCTGGAAGGTAAAGTCCCCCAAAATTAAACATAAGATTTATCAGATTCCTAACAAATTTTTATTTAATGAAATATATATATTAAGATAAAATAAATGGTATAACAGTACCCATGACGTGCTTCCTTCTAAGGTGCACGTACCAGGATGATACACGTCCCGACCACGTATGTCACACCTCCATGTGGTACCACGAATCCTCTTAAAAAGAACGTCGCTTTTGGCCGTTTGCCCGTATGGCCGAATATGGACGTAATTTGAAAATGAAAAAAAATGAAAATAAATTTGGGATTTTTTTTTCAACAACAGTAAGTTAAGGGTTCTCTGATAGGTTAGGTGGGCAGGAAATTCTCATAAAGTTTCAAAACGTTATGAAAAACGTTAATGGAATGTTGCCTCTTCTAAGCTGGCCGAGTAAGCCGGACGACTCAAACAGAAAACGGAACAGTACGTCACTTTTGTGAGTCGATTTCATTTCAAATTACGTCCAAATCTGGCCATAGTGCGCATACGAGCCAAAAGTGACGTTATTTTTAAGACGACGGGTTGACCACACACAATGTTGACAACGCTATTATTATTATTAACATCTTTATTGACAAAATTAATTACAATTTTGCCTAATATGCTGTGGTAGTTCTTGTGAGGAGGTAACCCCGAGCCGTCCATACACCACAGGAGATAAATTACCAACATAGAAGTTCATGTTGGTCTTTCCTTGCCTCGCCGCACCGACTCCCACAACCTCCAACTTTAATTTGTTAAACTTAATGTGGTGGTTATGTTAAGGTTGAGAGTTAAGTTGAGCCTAAGTCAGGTGAGTAGTGACCCCCAGGATGGAGTACACCAACTCTTAAAGACAACCCCATCAGGTAATGTATTTATACAACCTGTCAGTAATCACTATCGTTTCGTTATCAAATTACTGCAGGAGTAAACTGCCTTATTTGTGCTTAATAATAAGGCATTACTTTTACAAATACTAAATAAACCCGGCCTGGAAAAGTGTGTATGTTGCAGACAAGGATAAATATAGGAATTTCTTGTAAAATATTGTCTTTACAATTTAAACCAGTTGAGGTGAATGAAGGAGTTCTCTTAATATACTACTACTATTATTGAAATGCCTTTCTCATAAGAGACGGACTTCAAATTAAACTTTCAAAATACGTGTCATTAAATTTTCATGGCAAACTAATTTCTTGAATGTGGCTGTAATACTTGGCGGCCTGGGAATGTAGCGGTAACTTGTGCTTATAGTTCACAGGCAACATTACCTTGCGAGAGGTCAGCCCGGACGGTAGAGCGACGGTCTCGCCTTTTGCAGGTCGGCGTTCAATCCCCGACCGTCCAAGTGGTTGGGCATCATTCCTTTTAATCATCCTGTCCCAAATCCTTATCCTGGTATTAAAGTGATAATTGCCGTAATGGTCCAGGACGGACCGAAACATCGTCGTTTCTTTCTTTTAATGAGGTGTGGTTTGTTCACCACCAGTCAACTTTTAACATCTATCTCACCTATCGTGTACGTGTTGCAGTGATGACTACACATTATTGCTCATTTATAGTGCAGATTTTGTATATTGTGCTATGTTAACAATCAATCCTATTGGCGTATGCCTTTCCATTGGAGACTTTCAGCACCGTGGAGAGGGGGGGGGGGGAGAGACCTGCTGCCTGGGTAACAGCTTCTCCCCCATATCAACCCACCCTGGCTTTGCGCCCTGGTGAGGCCACTCCAGACCAGGCCGACCCCAGAGCGCAACTCCATAGTCTCCTGAGACTGATGGATGCCTACTATATGTTAACATGTTAGTGATTGAAGGGTATTTTGGTTGCAAAAATCTTGTTTATGCAAATTAGCTTAAAAGTCTGTATTTTAATAATGTATACAAACATCGAATCAAGAGTGACTTGTTATTTAATTGGCATATTTCATTAAAGTAGTTAGAGTCGGTAAATAGATGCAGATATGGTGTCTAAGTTTAGGGCAGCTGTATCGTGCAACACGTACCAAGTGGTGATTACAGGTTGACAAGGCACGTGGTAAAGGAAGACGTGCCTTCATCACGTGCCAGTAGCCAGTCTTGACTCTGTAACTATCACCAGGAAAGTCTTGACTGGTAATCTGGCAACTGGTCTTCAGACAGACACACACGCCCCACCTCACGCTCTTTTTAAATTCAGTTGGTGTTGTGTTTCCATGGAGTGCGGCCGCATAACTCCTGGGGCTTCTAGTTTATTGGGTAATGTTGTTATAGATTAAGCTACTCGGAACAAGTTCTAAGTAGCACGGGCTATGGTGAGCCCGTAACTTACCTGGCACAGGAGCGGGGCAAGAAGCAAGGGCTATGGGTTAGCCTCGTGGACGGGAGATGTCTCCCGTAATTATTGGGTAAGTAATCCTTTGTTTTTATATCTGTTCAGGTGAGGATTAATGTCCGGCGTGTTACTGGCGATTACTTATTGATAGTGGTATTTTGGTGGAGTTTTTCACTGTTATATATTTGTAAACATTAGAGCACCGCGTCCTCAGAGGTACGCTAGTTGGCTCACCACACTTGTTGTTCTAGTACGTCAGTGCTATAATAATTATTATAATTCCTGCATTATTTGAATATTAATTTACTGGCACTTGTATGGTAGTGACAGAGGTCCCTGGCCACATATTCAACCAGTATGGTAGTGACAGAGGTCCCTGGCCACATATACAACCAGTATGGTAGTGACAGAGGTCCCTGGCCACATACACAACCAGTATGGTAGTGACA